CGCGACCTGGGGGGTGGCAGAGACGACGGGTGTCCTCCAGGAGCGCGTGGGCAGGGCGGGGGCTGGGTGTTCCCACGCAGTTCATGGATCTGTGTCCATGCGGGGTCTCCGAGGTCCCCCCGCGCGAGAATTACACGAGCCCGTAGCAGCCCCATGCTCCCCCACCGTGCTGTCTTTCCCCCATGTCATCCTGTCCCCGAGCTTCTGAATGCCACGATGATTCACCAAGACACTCGTCTCTGGCAGCTGCTTGGACCCAGTTGGTGCTGCGCCAGTCTGCGCTAGCGTCGCTCCCCGAGGCCCTGCCAAAGGGGAAACTGGCTCCCACCCACCCCCCAGCACCCCCCAGCCTCCTGGCCCGACAAAGCTGCCCTGCTTAATTAACAGCCTCCTCTGCGCGGAGCATTAATTCAATAATTTGTTGCTAGTTACTTCACGAGGTACAGGGTCTCCTCTGTTAAAGCTGGGCACTAGTTAAATCTGGAACAGAGGGCTGCACGGCGCGGGCCATCCTCCTTCACAGTGGAACAGAGAAGAGGCTGTTAAGAGAACTCTGCTGGCTTGTTTTTGTTTTTGTGTCTGGGCCCTGGTAGTTTCAACCAACGTCAAGTGAAATTCCACCCTTGGACTCCTGACTCCAAATTTACCTTTTTTTCATGCATGCAGACTCTTCTTCTTCCATCTGCTCACCACACCCCTGCATGGCCAGCCCCTGGCCCCCTGCTGTGGTGGGTCCCCACCAGCTGTTCCTGTAACTCAGTCTAATCCTTTGGGCCCCAGTCTGTGCTCAGTTAGATGCCTGGAATGCCAATCTGGGCGAAAGCTAGAGCCCTGAGGCCTTTTTTGTCCCACTTTGCCATAAATACCTGCAGTCTGAGTGACTGACTGTTTTGCCTTATGCATGAGGTGGCTGTCACCGTAGCGGACTCTCTGAGCACTGGAACAGGCCAACCCTACAAGGTCCACTCCTAGAGGGCAAGCGCTGGTCACGTTCTGGGAGGGTTCGGTGCCGACACATGGGGTTTTATAGGTCAAAGCATCCTTTCCGGGTGGACCCCTGGGCCTCTCAGTGCTCCCTCTGCTGAGCAGGGGATGGGGGGGGTAGGGCACCTTCTGCTCCTGAGTCAGCTCCCTCTTCCAGCTAACTGAGCCAAATTCACGGGGTCAGCAGCTGCTCTGGGCATCTGGACTCCCATGGCTGTGTTTGGCCTCACTGGAAAGGATACGAACCTGAGGAGGAAGACAGTGTTCTTCCACCCTTTGGAGCTTCAGCTTCCCCAAAAGGCCCCCGTTCGAGAGATCAGCCCTTCGTGGCTCTGTCCCCGTTCTCCGTTGGAGCCTGGCCTGATGGTGCCATGAGGTGTGTGGACACCCGTGCTCTCCCCAGCCTCTTTTGGGAGGCGATGACTCTACTTATGGACACAGGTAACAAAGCTCCAGGGCGGATGGAATGGGTTAACTCCAACCAGGACAGTGCCCCAATCAGCAAGAAACAGCTCTTAGAACAGCAACTTCTCCAAAGCCCTTCTTGATGCTAACATTTTAACATGAACTATGATTTTGCCATAAAAAAAAAAAAAATACAGTGCACGTCCTAGAAAGCAGATTTCGCTGAGCCCCTCAGTAACCAGGGCTCGGAGAGGTCCGTGCAGCAACAACCGACGTCCTGTAATAGCACTTGCCTCTCTCTTGCCGCATAAGGGCTTCGAGAAATAGTCGTGAGAGGTGGGAGAGTAGAGGGAAGAAAGCAGGCAAATCACGAAAGGTCTTGGCCAACCGGTTCACCCCTAGAAGCCTAACATTTTACCACTGGAGAGAACTTTAAAGTTCAGCTATTTCACAGGTTCTCACCCCTGCCTGCACATGGGATCACCTCCAGAAGTCCTGCTGGGACTGCTCTGGGGTGAGAGCCCAGCATCAGTATTTTTAAGAGCTCTTCAGGTGCCTGGTGTGTGCGGTGACTGAGGAGCATGACGGAGACAAAAGGTGAGCCAGGAACCCACTCATGCACCCGGTAGGGCGGGGCCTCTGCCCCTAATCAATCAAAGCTTTCAGACCAGGAACCCACTCATGCACCCGGTAGGGCGGGGCCTCTGCCCCCAATCAATCAAAGCTTTCAGACCGTGGCCCCAGAGCCCTGGACCTCCCGGCTGTGCGCAGGGCTCCAGGCCCCCACACCTCCTTTGGAGAGAGTTCCCACCCATGGCCCCAGGTGAGCAGGAAGGGCCCCTGACCCCACCCTGGTCACAGCTGTGGGCCCCGCCATGGTCCCTCAGTTCTGGCCTGCTTACTGCCTGACCGATGGTGTGTGATCCGGCGAGATGGCCAGTCACATACTTCCTCGGTCTCTCTGGAAGCTGACTTGAGCCACCCAGAAGGAAGCTGTCAGGAGGGTTGAAAGGTCCTGGAGGCTTAGCACCTGGGCTGGCTGTGAGCCTTCCTCGGGACCTGGAGAGAGGGGCGCGCGTGCAGGGAGCTGCAAACACCTCGAGACGGTGAGGATGAAAGAGTGTCAGCTCCCAGAGCTCGAGGATTCCTGCTCTGCCTGAGGCCTGTTTGCTCAGCTTTTCTCCGATTCCTGGGAGACCTTTCTAGAGCCTTAGAAAAGACCACTTCCTGGAGCCTGTCTGTGTATCACCGAAAGTGTCTTAGAGGGAACGCTCACTACAAACAGAGCCACTCCACTTTTATCTTTTTACGTTTCAGGGTCTGTGGGAGCCTTTGAATGACTGGAGGGTGAAAACAAAAAGGTCTCTGCCATTGGCTAAAACAGAGTGCAGAGGTCGGGGCTGAGCCCAAGCCTCGCTTCACGGAGGACACGGGGCACGGACAAAGGACGGGCAGGTCCTGTGGGCCTGTATCTGAGGGAGACCAGGAGGAGGGGTGTAGGGGCCGCTAGAGAGCCCTCCTCGCTCCCCCGGGACCGCAGGTGTGGTGCATCTGACTCTGGGGCACAGGGCTCGGTCAGCCTGGAAAGCCTCATCTTGTCTCTGGCTCATGATGGCTGTGCGTCAGGGGTATGGGGGCAAACAGTCGGGCCCCAGGACGAATCCCGCAATTCTCTTCTGCCAACCGCCGGCTCGACTAGCCCTCAGGCGTCTCTCCCCGCAGCCAGAGACAGTAGCCGCCTTTCTGCAGGCTCCCATCTCTGCCCAGAACCCCTGCGTCAGGCACTTCACAAAAGGGGACCCGAGCTGGCCATAATAAGCATGTGGCCCCTAAAGTCTAACAGACGTTATTTGCATATGGAGGACTCGCTTTCCTGTCTTCCCACAAATACGACCAATTCCCGCTGTCCAAGCCCAGCTCCCCTCCACCCAGCTCCACGCGGTGCACCAACCCACTTCTCCTTCCAGAGTAGACCCGAGGGGGAGCTTCAGCTCTGGACCGAGACTGCAGGGAAGAGAGAGGCGCACGCAGAGTGTGTACCAACCTGACTTCCCGTGGACTGGAACCTGTTTCTGCCCAGCCATACAGTTCTCTGTATCTACAACCTTTTACAGGGACGCTGGGCCAGTTCGGTGGCCGCGACACCAGCAGAGAATAAGGGAGACAGATGTAAGAGAAGGTCTAGCCCTGTCTACCACCCTCAGACCGCCTTATTTGGAAACGGTAGCAGCATTGAGGACTCATAAATCAAGGGTGAAGATAGGCTTCTGAAAAGGAAATTGCCCAGCCTCCCTCCCCCACCCCACAAAGCCCGATATGTGCATAAAATGCCGGAGCATTTTCTGAGGTCGTGCTCTCTCTGGGTCTGATACTTCTCTCCGCGCCGCGGCCACCCCATCTTTCGCACACCAGGCTGTCAGGGTGAAGGATCACATCTTATTAGCCTTTGCATCCCCAGAAGCTGGTACAGTGGCAGAGAGCTACAAGGAACTCAAAAACTGTTTGATGAATGAATGAATGAATGTCCCCTGGCCACTCTCCCAGAATCCCAGGAGCCAGGACTTTTGCCCCCCAAGAGGCCCCCAAGCCTGCGGCCTTACCTCCCATGAGGAAGAGAAGCCCTGCCACATACTGCATAAGGCCTCGGTCCCAGCAGCAGCCCAGCACGCCGACGATCCAGCCGAAGAGAATGATGGCCACCGCCATGCCCATGAAGCCGGCTGTCATCCTGCGCAGGTCTGTGGGGAAGCAGTGGGACAGAGGTTAGCTTCAGAACCTAGAACTCAGGGCCAAGGTGGATCCTGGCCCTGGGCAGAAGTGGGGAGCGGGAAGGCAGCCTACCCTTCTCAGACAGGTTTGTACAACTGAGCTCCCTTGGTAAAGGAGAGCGCCCCTGATGGTAGCTATCCTCGCGTGCAAAAAGCAGGCCAGGACAGCTGGGTTCATAAGCATCGGGGGAGATCGTCACCGTCACTGGTGTCATTTCTTATACACCTCCTTGGTGCCAGGTGTAGCACTGTCCTTCGCAAGCAACTGGCTCAACCGTTTGAGACAGGTACTGTCTTTATCCCTATTTGAAAAACGGAGTGAACTGCTGAAAGCCATACAGCGAACGAGTGGCAGAACAGGACATCAAGCCCAGATCTGTATGGTTCCTGGGCGCTACCCTTCTTAGCTCCTTCTGGGCATCATCCACCTCTTGGGGAGAAATGGGCCTTTGGAGGAAGGCGAGGTCTTGGCAGGCTGACTGCACCTGCCAGGAGCACCCTCCCTTCCCTCCAGGGTCGGCTGGGCTCCCAGGGGCTCAGCTTTCCCTGCATGTGGGGCTGCAGGGGGGGAGCCACACATCCTGCTCTCACACGGAGCCCCTGGGCAGGCCTCTTCCGCTTCCAGGACCCAGGTCAGCCCAGCTTTCTGGGTCTGGCCTTTCCCTGTCCCACACCTCACTGACTCCGCCGTACAAAGCCGACGTGGGTACCAGGCAGGAGAAGGGCTGTCAAAAATGGCAGTATTTTTAGTGGAAGAGCGAGGGCAGAGCCGCTCTCACATCTCAGCCTCCCTCATTCAGCACCTTGCCCTTGGCTCTCTCCACTGCCCTCCACTGTGCGCCCCCACCAGCCTCCCACGCCCTCCTTGGCATCCAGCCTTCTTACCCCCTTCTGGGTAACACCCTAGCTGCTTGTCCTTGACTCCCCCCACTCTGCCCCAGCGCCCACCGGCCTGCAGCTCCCTGTCCACCTCTGTGGTCCGTGCGGAGCCCAGCTGCCAGCCCCAGTCCCAGCCCCAGTCCTGCCAATGAGGCTAAATAGGAGCAAGCCATCTGCCCCGCCTCTGCACCCAGGGGCTTGCCGGAGCAGCCTGGAGGACCCCATGGGCATTCCCCTCCCTCAACAGGAGGGAGGGAGAGTGAAGGGTAGAAGGGAGGGCACTCGACAACAAACTACATACATCCACACCCCAGGGAAGCCTGGGTCGAGCTCATCTCATCCCTCACAAGTCCCCGGCAGGTTTCTGCAGACCCTGAGGGCCCCATCCCCTCTGTTCCTCTCCCACTTCAGTCACCCCCAGCAGGAGCCATGGCAGACCCCGGCACAGTTAGGCCAGAGAACTCTCAGTCATCTCCCCTCGGAAGAGGGGTTCGGTCCACGCTCCTTGACCTGACACGGACGATGAGACGCTGGCAAACCCTCCCCTCCCAGGAGGAGCTGGCTGGGGCGTGGGAGGGGGGGCAAAGGAGAACAGCCTGGATGGGAAGCAGGACAGGACCCTGTGGCAGAGGCAGAAATCCATCCACGGACTTCTGCCACGGATCTCATCCATAGAATCCATCCAGGTTCCTGCTCTAGCTGCTCTCCTCGGTCCTCGCCTCTCCAGCCCGGAATGCCTACCCTGGCCAGGGAGACATAATACCCATTATAGTCACTGATGGGAACTGCCAGGGCTGCCTAATTACCATGCAATTACCAGGCCACACTACGCAGATGGCGCCGATCGCTGATGTGGCCGGGGAAGCTTCCCGGCCCGGCTCCCTGCTTCCGTGCTCAGGCACCCACAGCCCTCTGGAAAGGAGAGGTGCAGTCTTGCCAGGCGCACAGGCACTCAGCCTGGGAGCTAACTGCCGTGGTTGTGCTGGCCCCCATCTCCCCACACGGTTCTTCTGCTGCCACCTGCTCAGCCCTTCTTCCTTCGCCGCCACCCACGGTCCTTCGAGTGAGCCAGGCCCGAGCTGCCTCCTTGGTAGAGAAGAAACCCCCCCTTGACGTGTGAGTCCATCTGGGCTGACCCCTGGAAATGCTTCATCCACTCTCCACTGTAGTCAAGGGCAAGGAGGCGGCGGGAGTGGGGAAGGAAAGGTCGGTATTTTTGGAATAAAGTAGGTTCATATCCCGCTTAAGCACATCAAGAAATTTCGTTCTGTGCCCCTGTGAGACCACTGGTTCCCTTTTCAGTGCATGAGGGGCTTCTGAAATCTTGGCCCATTTGGCAGCACTGGAGACAGACAACATCGCTGAAGCCACAGAGCCCCCTCCCCCCGCAACCACTGCACTTGGCCTTGCTCATGGGAAGGCCTTCCTGATCTTCAGGCTCTGCAGATCCAAGGGAGCAAAGGTACTGCCTGGGGGATCACGTGGACAGTGTGTCCTGTAAGGCGTGCGCCCTTGGGCCTGGAATGGACAAAGGGGCGGGACAGGAAAAGGAAATGCAATTGGAGGAAGTGGGAAGGTCATCATGGTTGCAAGAGGAAAGCCAAGTCTAGGACTTAGAGGAAAGGCAGAGAGCCAGAGGCATGAAGAAGATGATTTCTCTTGCAAAAGTTCTGAGACAGGGAACTGTCACCTGTGTCCCAGGTCCGAGAGGGGCTGTGGCCCTCGGGCACAGATTAGGGGCACTTTGGGGCCGGGCTAAGTTGTTGATCTGGAAAGCAGGATGAAGACCAGAGGTCAGGCCCAAATACTTTCACTGGCCGGGAGGATTTTTACCGTCATCGCATGAGGCTGAATTTTCAGAGCCATGCATGTGTGGTTGGGTATTTTGTCCTCAGACCTATGTAGTAATTCAGTGCAGCCACCACAACAGCTTGCAAGGGATACAGGACAAGAAATAGTCTTATTTTCCAGACAGGAAAGCAAGATCCAAAGAAGTTAAATAATTTTTCGACAAACCAGTGACATAAAGGAAGAGTGAGTTGTGTGGGAAAATAAAATTAATAACGCAGTTAAAGACCTGCTGGGTTGTCATGGCGATTGAACAAATGTATCGAGCATTTCTTCCTCCCAGATATGCTGAGAACTACAGTTCCGTGATTTTTTTTTTCCCCCAAAGATAGGCATCCACAAGGATGGGCAAGCATGACAGGAAACAACCCAGGACCAGAAGCGGCAAAGCTGGTGGACGGTGCACTTGACTAGAGCCCAACTAGATGCCACCATGGGCAAGCTGCAAACCAACCCACCGCGGCGCCCAGAGACCCATGAACGGGCAGCCTCAGGTTCCTCTGGATCAGGCCATTAGTTACCCAGAGGGGAGGAGCATAAATAACCAGGATTTGGTGGAAGCCGTGGGAGATTGAACTAGATCCCTCGATCCCCTCACCCACCCCACAATGCTGGGGTCTCCCCACCCCTCCCCTCCCCGGGAGGGTAGAGTGGGGGTACCTAGCACTGTGGTTGACAAGCTCAGCAAGGCTCATTCCACGTAGGTGATTAAGTGACCGTTCACAAACAGAATGTTGAATGCTTGCCCCTGGGACCCTGGCCCCCTTCTACTCAGCCCCCAGATGCTGACTGCCTGGCTTCTGCTGTCTAGTCCGGGGACCGGGAGAGGTCTTTCCAGTGATGACCAGCACAGGAGGAAAGACCTAGGCATCCAGCACTGGGGGAGCCCCACAGGCAGCCCCTCCCACCACTCTACCATGGAGCTTCCCATTGACAAGCACCCCCCCCAACCCAGTGCTTCCAGGCAGCGCTCTGGCCCCGCCCCCTGACAATCCAGTACCTATAACCTGGGTGCCAAAGAACTTGAGGAAACAAGCCACAGAGAGAAGAGGCAATAATTCAAAATTATTATTAATATTCCAAGAGAGGCAAGACACGAAACATATTTTGTCTCCATGAAATAAGAACAGGAGTCTATTGAAAACATCTGGAGAACAAAACCAACCCCTTCAAATAGCGGAGTCAAAGTCACTGAAATTTGTATTATAAAATCATTTCTAATTTATGTATTAACAGGCTATCATGTTCCCAAAAAATGATGTAAGGAGGCTTACAGGACACACACAGTGTAGCAGGATAAAAATAATGAGAAAATGAAGGGAAGAGAAAATAAAGGGAAGAAGCAGCTGGATCTCACATGCATGCGGGAGGTCCTTAGGAAGGAAATGATGCTTGCTGCACCTGAATTGAAAGGCAGTACACATGGTTTCCATTGTCTTGAAATCTTTGTTGTTTCCTGTTTGCACTTGAGTAAATCCCGTTTGCCGCTCTGCCTGTGGAATGAGCCAGGTGCTCACGAAGGCCTCATTCCTGCCCATCTGCATTGCCCCGTGTGCCTACTTGCTCTCCTGGGGAGTAAGAGACCACCTGTTTCACTCTCTGTGAAGGGTTGGATTCTGCATCCATGAACTTAACGTAGCTTGTATCTCATTCCCCATTTCTTCCTGCCTTCTTAGAAAAGAAAGAAAACCCAACTCATGTATCTGAAGCCTTGTGAAAATATTATGCAGGGTGGACCTAAGAATAATCCCCTTAGAAAGAGCCCGGGATGATGAGTTGGACTCTGTGGGCCAAAGCTGAGATAGAGAAAAATCTTCTCATGAATCCTATTGGGTTCGAGCCCATCATCTGTATTCCATGACCCAAGCGCTTAACAGTCTAAGTTTTGAAATGAGAAAGGTGCATTCTCAACTTTTTAGAAAAAGAATTTAGTTCAGCACAGTGGAAATGGTGTGCACAAGGGGGTGGATAATGAGGGGGGATGGAGGACGAAAGGCAAGGGGAACCATTAAATAGAACCAGAAAAAGCAGTTCTCCCTCACAGAAAAATTTTGATTTTGAAATTTACACTCCTATTAACATTTAAATTGAAAGGTATTGCTTGCAACTCTACACGGGAAACCAGGATATCTGCATTTAAATAAATACCACTTAGAGAGGGAAAATATATAGGCGGGCTCTGAATATCTTTCTATTTGCTTTTTAAAGACCTTGCACAGAAAAATGATGATTGTAATTTTTTT